ATATGAACTGATCTAGCTACACATTGACTAACACAACGTTTATTTTACAATCGTTGAGCTTGTGTTGTATTTTGTTTAAACAATAAAATATCACAATTATTTCTATTTGTTTTATATTTTAAATAACGTTTAGAAACAGCTTTTTCTGCCCACACGTGTGTGTGAGCTAAACCAAATCTTGTGTATGTGAGCTAAACTAAATCTTGTGTGAGTGAGATAAAACAAATCTTGTGAGTGTGAGCTAAACTAAATCTTGTGTGTATGAGCTAAACCAACTCTTGTGTCTGTGAGCTAAACCAAATCTTGTGTGTGTGAGCTAAACCAACCCTTGTGTGTGTGAGCTAAACCAAATCTTGTGTGTGTGAGCTAAACCAAATCTTGTGTGTGAGCTAAATTAAATCTTGTGTGTGAGCTAAACCAAATCTTGTGTGTGAGCTAAACTAAATCTTGCGTGTGAGCTAAACCAAATCTTGTATGTGAGCTAAACCAAATCTAGTGTGTGTGTGAGCTAATCCAAATCTTGTGTCTGATGTTAATTCACACATGCACACCAGAGTACACATAAATGATTGCACATACGTGCTCACATGTGTATCTGTTCACTCGAAATTTTGTATGCATGCATGAGGTGACACACATATGTTGTTATACTGTAAGGATATGTTTAATTGCTGTATTCTAGACGGAGATATAGAAAAATAATTATTTTAAGTGTTTGTAAATACACCTTTTATTTTCGTTACAAAAAAAAAACATTTTAAAAGTAATTAATATGAATGTAATTAATATAACTTTGACAAAATATTCACTTTTTAAAAAAAATAGTAGATGACATTGTATAAAATCACAATGGCATTAGTGACTGTGTAGGTAACTGGAGTAACGATAGTTAATTTGTACCTGTTTGTGTACCTGTTTGTGTACACGTTTGTGTAAATGTTTCTGCAACAACTACCACCCCAACATTAAATTTACCTCTGAAATTTCAGGCAGTTCTGTTAACTTCCTGGGTATGACAATATCGCTTAACACAACCAACGTTGGGAGGACTGTATTCTACAAACCAACTGACTCACATTCACATCTGCTTTACTCTTCGTCAAACTCCCCGGCCTGCAAAAATTCTATACCATTCTCACAATTTTTAAGACTACGACGTATTTGTCAAGATGATGACGACTTTTGGATCAAGGCCCATGAGCTATTACAGTTCTTCCGACTCCGGTAATACCCGGAGCATATACTCGAGTCAGCACTACATCGCATAACAACTGTTAACCACCAAGCCTTCCTTCAGCAATTTCCAAAACAAAAGTCAGATAGAACTAATCTCATCTTACCCTACCATCCTCATTCGGTTTTGGCTAAAAATATCATTATAAAAAATTATTCTTTCCTCAAGTCAGACCCCCATTTAGGCCATTTATTTCAACAGAATCCTTTGGTTGTGTATAGAAGGGAACGCAATCTCAGAGACCTTTTAGTTCGCAGCCGCCTGCCACCCACTACCACCATCAGATTGGGCGCAACTCCTTGTCATTTCACCCTTCAGGTTGAATCACTCCAGATGCCGAAGGGAACCCTCAAAATTAAAAATCACTTTAACTGTGAGTCCCGTAACGTAGTTTACGTCATCCAGTGCAGGCGATGCAACATCTTTTATATTGGACAAACAGGGAAACGATTGTCTGACAGGGTTAGCCAACATCTGCGTTCAATCAACAATGAAGACGGTCTTCCTGTGGCCAAACACTTCAACAAGAGTGGACATGACATAAAAAAAAAAACTTTTGTGTAACCGCCGTTCGGTTTTGCCACAATTTTAAAAATCGCCTTAGCACTGAAACGCGACTAATACTTAAATTTGGTACACGGGCACCCGATGGCTTGAATGAACAGATATCTTTCACCTAACCAACCCCCTTCCCCCCCCCCTCCCGCATACACCACGCCCCCAACCCCACCCCTATACGGTGTCCAAGCGTCCTTCTCACGCGTCTTTTCTTTTGGATAGCGTTGCTAGCAGACAAGACGTGTTTTTCACTGTCGAGCTAAGTCAAAAACTGTGTTACTGTTTGTCTTTATATGTCTAATCTGTAACCACACTGTTGTGTGCTGACGAAGACCTTGGGTCGAAACGTCCATAGTACTTGTAACTGTCTTTAACTTGTGAGGTAACTAACACTATCTGTTGTATTACTAATTATTCTATCTGAAATAGTACTCAAGTAATAGGCTTTTGAAAAATTCAAAGTAGAAAAAGTACCACTTCCTGTTATCGGAAATCGCTCAAAAGTTGAACGGGATCTACGATTTTGATAAAATACTTATATATCAGATTTCATCAACCTAGCTGTAACGATACTCCAGTTATATTGTTTACACACAGACAGACAGACACACACACAGACAGACACACAGACATTCGGACAAGATTGCAAAATTATGTTTTTCCGTATCAGTGAGGTGTAAAACGTCGAGATTTGTAATTTTATTTTTTTGCACGATTACAAGACTTTCTCTATACTTTGTTTATACGAGAAAGTAAAAAATGTAAGGAAACCTTCACGGGAGCTTATCAAGATATGTATACTTTGAAATATATTTTATTGGTTATGTCCCTTAGTGTAATTATCATTTAAATATGATCTCATAAAGTGTAAAATGTATGTTTTAGTGAATAAAATATATAAACAAAAGAACATCACAGCAACTTTCTCTTAAAGATTTTAGTCCTGTTGATGCAGTCTCTAACACTTAACACATTATTTTTAAGCAGACCTTAAGAAATTTAGTGTTTATTGTATTGATATAAATACAAATAATAACAGGTCAAAGTGAGTGTCTTGTTTTTGGCTTTGTGATTATATGTTTTGTTATTTTGTGAGTTCACCATACAACATGTTTTGTGTTGCACTTATATAAACTAACGATAGTAAAACTACTGCAGCGGGATAAATTTGCGTCTTGGTCTGAGAAACATTTTTGACGTTACTTCATGTCAACAACCACTGACCCAGCAGCGCTAGTTTAGGTGCACTTAACTTTTATTTATATTGTCGAACAATACCCATCTCCAGACCACGCACCAACTCTAATGAATTTATCGGTGCTTTTATCAAGTGTCACACAGGCAAGATAAAAACCATCGTGTGATGATACAAATATTCCTAGTGTTTGATAAAATCTAGACCGTAGCATCCACGTACTGATTAAAAGTTCAAATTGTCACAGACAAGTGTGGGATCATCAAGCTCTTCATAACGAGCACATCTGTTACATACACGTGACTCTGTGGAATAGAAAATATCTGTATGATTGACATGTTCAAGTTCACACATACAAGCAAAGCTCTGACTATTTGATCCTTATAAGGAAACTTTGTCTTGTCATTAGTTTATGTTGTAACATTCAGTATTTTTTCCCACGTTTTCTTTAACTTGCTTTCTCTGTGTGTTTATTTGTTTGTCTTTCCAATCAAATCTTGCGATCGAAATTTCTGGCACTTCCCAGTTAGCTAGCGCGCTGAAATTTTCAGGGAAGCTTTCTTTTGGATGACCATTGAATATTCAATTGTTATTATTACTAAATTGATCAATGGAAACATTTTATTGAGCATTTTAGACCGCTATATAATCTATATATATAATTCTCCTCTGCTAGCCATTAGAAAAAAAACCAGCGACGCGTACCTCGCGCGCAGTGAAGCGAACGATCCCAAATCGCCACAGGCTTAGGGGCAGATAATTTAGCTTGAACCGAGTTTAAAGTTACAGGAGGTATGCCAGTTTGGGGGAGACGATATGGTCGAGTGGTTGGGCACACGATTGCTATCCCACTCGACACGGGTTCAAATCTATGTGTCTTTTTACGAGTTGTCTTTTTACGAGTTGTCTTCGTTTACCCAAAAAAAGTGAAAAGATAAAATCGATAGCAAGATTTTAATGCAAACAAACAAAGACTAAAAAGTAAAAAATAATAATCATTAAAAAAGTTTTAAAAAACCCACGTTTTCTGATTGAACTAAAAAGTAGAAAATAAACGCTATAATGCAAGCGATCACTCTACTATAAGCGATCAAAAACGTGGGGCGCCGTGATTTTCTTACAGTTTCTAATACTGTTGACTCTCTACAAGCTCCCTAATAAAAGTCAATAGTATTATCTAATCAATAGTAATATAACTTTTACTTCGGCGCCCCACGTTTTTCAGCGCTTATAGTAGAGTGATCGCTTGCATTATAGCGTTTATTTTCTACTTTTTAGTTCAATCAGAAAACGTGGGTTTTTTAAAACTTTTTTAATGATTATTTAGACCAGGGGTCGCGAGCCGCATTCTGCTCTTTTGATGACAAGATGCGGCTCTCAATCTCCTTGCACAAATATTAGTATAATATTTATATTATTTTATTATCAAAACTCATAACAAAATATATTCTGTAAAGAAACACTAGTTTAAAAAGAAAAAAAAAATCTCATCAGAGAACAGTGGGAATAGGTGCAGTAGAAAGTATACTGACTGCTAATGGCCGTTTGGGCACCAGACCCAGCAGGACAGCCGTACTGTGGACAGCCCCGTGGCGACCTTTCCATGCGTGCCAAAGCCCAAGTGCCGACTTTAATGGGGAATGTTATTTTATTTAGAATGCATTTTCTTATCCGTTAATAATCATTAATTTGTCATGAGTGACGTAGTTTTTTTTAGTTATTAGCTTCCTACTGTTGAGCCGGGCACTGGACGGTGGGGTACAAGTTTACTTTGCGTTCAATGGGCTAGAAGATAAGCCTGGTGAGAACCAAAGGACAGAGGGGACCGAGACACGGTAACCAAACCGATGTCGAAGCCAGTTTGTCGAAGTATGCCGTGTTGAGTCCTGCCTGGCTAATGGCAGACACCTCCTGTGCCGGTGATATCCGTAAAGAAGGGGAAAAGTTAACAGCTTCTAAAGTGGATTTGGACAATCCTATATTTTTATTTTTTATTACTAATTTCATTTTTTTCTGGCGAAACAAGTTTACCTTTGTATATGAATAAATATAATTTCATAAATAAAGCTATTTATTTTAAATAATAAATCAAATAAATTTACCTAATCTTAATCAGAAAATAAAATATTGACATTTTAAAAATGTTAGTGGCTCTTTTAAACCTGGGAAATTTTGAAAATTGTAACTTTTGGCTCTTCTGTCTCAAAAGGTTGCCGACCCCTGGTTTAGACCATGTTACTGCGGGGGGGGGGGGGGGGGTTAAGTTTGTGTGGGGAGTGGGTACTCTTAAAAATATATTTTCTATAAAATTATTATTATATAAAAATATATATTTTCGTTCTGATTTTTGGATGTGGAGGGAGGATGGACGCGCTTAGGTCAATGACCCAACCCACTCCGAAGAGGTGCCTGAAAAGAAAAACTGATAACACCTAAAGACAAATACATTGTATGAGTCATTGTATGTGTATACAAATGTGACCAAAACAGAAAAAAACAAAACAAATCAAACCATTTTATTTTAACACCCGAATTGAAATATGGATTATATTTCATTTATATTTAAACAATTATCTATAACGGCATAATTTGAAAGTGTACGTTTAGTATCATTCTCAGTTATTCTGTAATACTTCTCCCACTCTATTAAACACCGTGGTAACGTTAGCACCATCAAACTCGTGTATTGCTCATTTAACATTAACTTACATGAATTAGATACGTATGTGTTACTTATAGCAATTACATTTTCTGAGATTTCGTTACGGTTTAAAATGATTAAGCGAGGCCAGTGTCGCTGGATTAGACATAAATAATAGCAGAAGTAAACAATCATAGCAAATCGTGTGTGTGTGTGTGTGTAACTTATATTCAAGAACTGTTGTATGGACAAATTATACCCCAACAAACGGATGTACAAATATTGTTGACGTCAATATGCACAGGTATCCTCATTACAATCATTGTTATCACACTTTTACATTAAAACTAGTGCTGACGATTTTTTTTACCACTGTAAACTCTGCAAAGTTTTGAGTTGGTATCCATTCCCACCCTCCACCCACCAATGGTATTTTTTTTAAAAATACGTACAGATAATAACAATAGTTGTTTGTGGTTTAGATTTAAAATAAGTAAGAATCCTTTACAACTTAAGAGAGAGGAGTGTTTATGTATTGTTAGCCAATGTCGATATCGTGTATTAAAGCAGGAGTTAACGATTGCTAGGGGTCTTTCTGGTAGAGACAAGCGAATAAGACAGCACTGTGTAATATGTGAACACGAAAACAATTTTGTTTTAAAATACGTTAAAATTTCTGACGACACATCCAACAAGGCTGTGGATACTGAGTCGAGTTCTTGCTGTAACTCAATGTAGGTCAAGGACGGTAGGCTATTTTTATCTTGCAGCCAAGTATTACTTTTCTCCACAACCTAGTTTTTATTTTAAAACAAGTTGAAGTTTTATATTTGTATTCCTGTACAATCTGGGGTAGTTAAAAGAGTCAATATATGTTCACCTCTCCCTCTACCCCCGGCCCACTCCCATTCTCACTAGCCAGAATTCTTGTAAAGACTAGGCATGCTGCCCAGCTTCGCTTAGGCTTTCGAAAACATTGAGAATTTGAATGCTTAATTAATTCGCCTATATAAGGCGCCGGTCGATCGAGGTCAGTTTTGACCCACTCATCGTAGACTTTTCGACCAACCGGTCCCCTGCAAGATCCTGCCAAATTTGAAGCGCCTGCGGCGCCGGGAAGTGCACCCGACAACTTAGCTTTATATATTATAGAGATTAGCAAATTGCATAGATAAACGAAGATTTCAATAAAGTAATTAAGGCCTGAAATACTTTAGTATAGAAATGTATTATTTGAATAGATTCTCGATCTAGGTCTACATCTGTGTAAGTCTAGTTTTTCCGTAGATCTAGATCAGGGGTCTCCAAACTACGGCCCGCGGGCCAGATGCGGCCCGCGATGTCCTCTCATCCGGCCCGCGGAGATCTTTTTGTCCACGGAAAAAGCGTTTGTTGGTGATGGCTGAGGAACTTTGACCAGAAAAATCAAAGATACGCCTGGAAGAAACTGGCCCCCGAACTGAAAATTGATAGTTAATGCGGCCCTCGGACTTAAAAGTTTGGAGACCCCTGATCTAGACCATCTAGATCTAGATCTAGAATCTCTAGATCTAGATGATCTAGAATATCTAGATCTAGATAATCTAGGATATATCTAGATCTAGAATCCCTAGATCTAGAATCCAAATAGATAAAATAATTTTTTTAAGTTTAGGCCGAGAAAATCGTATTGTATACATTTCATAGCGTACATAGCTATAAATCATATTTGAATGAAATAGTTCATTTCTTTTTATTCAGTTTCGTGCTCTGTTTTTAGTGTAAACAATAAGCTACGTCATTATTAAATGCGTTCTTGTCCCAAGTTTAAACACTCTTCCGGTTGCATAATTAAAATTGTTTTTCTACATTCAAATACGCATTTATTTTTTATTTTTCTTCTTTAAATAAAATTGTGGTTATACATTTAAAACATCTAACATATTATTTTCAACAAAAGTCCGTATAAAGTTCTTCATATATCGATGCAGTTTCTGATTTGATGTCCGGCGAAAATATTTTGCGGACAGAGAGAGAGAGAGAAGTGCGCATAGGGTCTTTTATATATTAGGATGACTTATACAATCCATATAGCTTTTGATCCTTTATTTATATGTGCTTTTGTATGCCCTAATTACAGTTTAACTTACATTTTTCATAGCTTTAATAACAGGCTCCACAATTCGAATCTGTTCTTGTAAATATTTCATGTGATTAGTGACTTGTCTGATTTGAATTCTCGGACGCATCTATAGAAGAAAACACAGCTAGCTTAAGTAAGATACTCTCTAATGTGTGTTCATTCAGATAAGTATTTGGCATGTGACATTTAGGAAATTGAATAAGAGAAAAATCATTATGGAGAATAACCGGCTATTCTAACCAGATACTATGGCACTATTAGTTGATTTGCACCGTTTTACAATATTTCATTACCTACAAACTAAATGTTTAAATTTGGCGTTATCTTACAAAATTGGATTACATTCACGTTACACATATTGATAAGACGAACAGACAGATGTTGCCGTTAATAAAAAAAAATGTAAAATCTCAATTCTTTTTTATTCAGAAAAAGATAAGTTACTTTGCTTTAACATAAGAATAAAGTAGAAAGTAATTTATTTCTAGGTTCTGCAAGACTAAAGGTAACAATTGTAAGAGTTAGAATTCAAAATACAGTATGATATTTTAACAGTTGCACTACGTAAAATACAGTATTAAATACGTATGCATATAATTGTAATATCTTTCAGCTACGTTTTAAAATTTTTAGACTTATATTATTTTTTTAAAAACAAAAACTATTCTAAATACTAAATTTAGGAAGCATTTAATGCTTTATATACATTACGTGATTATTTATTAAAATAAAAAAAAATAGTTTTTTTTTTTAATATAAAATATAGACACATTATAAAATTAATTATAGGTAGATTTAAAATATAACTCATACAGACAAAAATTAAAAAAAACACAACTCTATTTTTCTACCGATGTAATTCAATACATTTAGGGAATAATCATTATTCAATTTAAAATCTTTACCTTTCTAACAAAGTTACATCTTGACCATTGACCTTGATAATAAAAATAAACTACTTCAATTTTATTATTGACCATTAGCTAATCACACCACCATGTTTATAGATATCTGAACGAAGCATAAACGCCCACACGACTCCATTCATTAAGATCTAAATCACACAAATATTATCCGATCACACATAAATTAGTGATCGAAAAACTTATAACAAAACAACCGTCAACGTAGAATAATCTCGATATAAAACGACGTCGAACGAGCACTGAGGAGATTTGTGGTTGTAGCCACCACACGTTATCCACACGAATAATGATGTCGAACAGGATTTAGTTTTCTTCTGCATTGAATATTCTGTCATAAACTCTCATTCATTTGTTTTCTCGATAGTAGTTATTTTAACGTGAACTCTTCATGAGTTGATTATATCTGAACTTTTACTGGACTCATTCATGTTCCTAACCTAATTCTAGACCTAACACAAAATCTAACCATAAACGTCTATCTGCATATAATAAGCAATATATCGTATATACATATATCACATATGTAGGCTTATATGTAAGTACATATGTAATGAAATTAAACAGTAAATTATGTAACCTTCTTTACCTCAATGTGTTTTTGCTACAAAAACAAGATCAGCCACAGTTATGTCCCTTGAGTTATTGTGTACTTTGTACCGATGTTTCAACGTAATAGATAATAGCGGAATTTCCCATTTATTACTTTCAGTTTCACGAGCAGGATAGAAGTTGTGGAATAGTTTGATAACGTTTTACCTACACGTCAAAAGAATACCAGAAGTCAAGATTAAAGTAAGTGTAATCAAATGGTTTAGAGATTATACATGTATCTTAATTAATAATAAAACGTGTATTCAATTGTGGATCATATAATGTGTCGTTTAGTTTGAATTTTTCGAATATAAATAGTACCTATTTTAAGATATGTTATAGATAGAGGAACACGATTAAATAATCAGATAATAGTCTGTTCGACATAAAACCATTTGAATGACCTACTAAATACACAGATACGTGGCTTTTACCTGGATGAAATATTGTAGTTGGAGACAAAAAACAGATCTAGCAGCCTACGTCTCGTCTATTGCGGCCATGTTCATTAATGAAATAATTTTTTATAACAGCTGATTTTCTCGATGGACACTTTTATTTTCATTTGTTGGATGTAAATGTATTTAGTAAAGAGTGCAATCTCATGCAATAAGAAAAATAACAATATGCAAGATTTATAGTAGAATAACGCGTTAAATAAAAACAGTTTAAACGTATATCATTTAAGTTTCTCGCTAGACAGCCATGTTAGAAGTGTTACCTTATTAACTGTGACTTTATTTTAAAACCATCTGATTGGGTTGTGGATATTTTGTTTTATTTAATTTGTTTATATTTTTCTAACTTTTCAATTTAATTAGTCAATACCGCGACAAAATCTTTAAACTACATTGTAAGATGCGACCCAGGATTCAAGTTGAACTTGTTACACGACACAAGAAATATTTGGAAGAACAGATACAAGTTCTGGAACCTGTCTTGGAAGTTATGAAAAACGTAATGGATTATTAATGTTGCTATTTATTTTGAAACGTACAAACCCTTATGTCGTCAAAAAGTAGTTATTGAATAATTTTAAAAAAAGTATATTAAAAGGTCACACGGTTCATTGAAAAATGTTTGTTTACAAGGCTGTCGAAAAAAGTCAGACTTGGATAGAAGATAAAAATGACAACCCGTCTCTTACCTACAGCGACCTTTGCCAGGAACTGGAGGCAGCTACATTGAGTTTGTTAAATGCGTCTTCATCAATCATAAGTAAAAAACATTAAATAATTATAAAAAGTCTATGGTTAAAGTTACCTATTAAATTAATATTGTTATACTAATGGTATTGAAGGGGTACAACGAATATCATACATACTATAGTTATAACACAAATTATAAAATATCAACAGAAAGAGATACGATTATTAAACAATAGATATTCGACTATTTGAAATGTAACAAAATATTATTTTGTTCATTTACATCAACAAGATGAAAATAAAGACAACGTAGATGTCGAGGGATATACGCCATCATTATCTCAGTCAACACCACAAACTACAGCAGCAGAAAAACGTGTCCATAGTAAAACAAAACATCAAGTCACTAAACACGTTCAATCAACAGCGGGTATGGAATATTTAGAAACTAAAACAACTAAATCTTAAGATGTACACATATATGTCTTAGCTTAATTAAAAATAAAGTATTTATGATTTACTAAACACAATTAATACTTAGAATAATTTCATTTGTTTATCATGTATTACTATAGAAATATTGAGTCGCCTTGAGCAGATAGAGACAGCCATATCTTCTCTACAAGACGTCAGTCGACTTGAGCAGATAGAGACAGCCATATCTTCTCTACAAGACGTCAGTCGACTTGAGCAGATAGAGACAGCCATATCTTCTCTACAAGACGTCAGTCGACTTGAGCAGATAGAGACAGCCATATCTTCTCTACAAGACGTCAGTCGACTTGAGCAGATAGAGACAGCTATATCTTCTCTACAAGACGTCAGTCGACTTGAGCAGATAGAGACAGCCATATCTTCTCTACAAGACGTCAGTCGACTTGAGCAGATAGAGACAGCTATATCTTCTCTACAAGACGCCAATGACAAGTCTACAGATGACATATCAGAAATAAAACAATGGAGAGACAACTTTGAAACAGAACAGAGTGACATGGAGGTAAACATTGAACAACTGACGAAAAAACAAAAACATAATTTCAAAAACCTCAGTAAACAAATGAGTGAACAAGATAACAAAGTAATGGAGCTGAACAAAGAAATTGAAAGTTTAAAAGACAAAGAAACTAAGTCAATCAAAACCCTAGAGAAAATCTCTGTAGAAGTGAAAGAACATAAAATCAAATTGGTCAAAATAAATAAAGAGATGCAAGATCACACATATGAAACAGACAGTATAACACAAGAAGTTAAAACACATTCTGATCACATTGTTGCTTTACAAGAAGATAATAAAATCTTGGTCGATACATCAACCAAACTTAAGAAAATGCAATCAAAGGTAAACTTTTTTCTTAATCCAATTTTAATAACAAAATTGTAAAATATTATTAACAGTCAGTTGGTTCGTTTTTCCACCAGTAATACTTACGATATTGCAACTAATGATGAGGCACACTTTAAAGTCTGCAATTTCATCTGTAAAAGAAATAGTCTAATTTTAATAATTCACTCAGCACAATGTGATGTACAAACTTCTGCAACAAAGATTGATGCCTATTGACAAATTGATTCAAATATTTAACCAGAACTTGAAAACAAGGGAACAAAGATTACAGAAGGTATGTACTAAATGTTTTAAAAAGGTAATAATTTAATCATGCTCGAAAAAGCTGAAAATAATCGATTTTCTTATAACATATAATAACACTATTTAAATAAATATAAAGAAAAGCGTGGGTCATTGCATCATCTATTCGATATCATTAATAATATTTAGGAAATTTATTTCAATTATTTCATTTAAACTTTATTTTTGTTTAGCTTTACAATATTGAAAATACCATTTCAAAGTTGTCCAAAGAAATGCATTTAATTGGTAAGTGTGTTTTGAAAGAAAAATAATTAAAGAAATTCATTTAGACTTATCGTAAAACAATGTTGATTTAATGGTATTTATTTTTTTCTCTTGAAAAAGTAACACATACAACGGTATATCGGTACTCACTTAATTATTTTTGCACAACTCTGTTCAATATCTGTCCATCCTCCTCCTTCCACCCCGCGCCAAGCTCTCTTGTTCTCTTACACGAACGTAATAACTTATTAATTACACTTCGTTAGCCAGACAGACCATAACGTGATGTTCGTTATCCAGACAGACCACAACATGATGTTCGTTAGCCAGACAGACCATATCGTGATGTTCGTTAGCCAGACCATAATGTGATGTTCGTTAGCCAGACAGACCATAACGTGATAAAGAATGGAACATTTCACTCACCCATAGTGCCAGTCTCTAGACCCGTGGGTTTCCGTCAGGTGTTTGTTTCCTCGTGTCACATTCGAGCCAGGGCTGAAGTCTAATATAAAACGATATCTTCGAGTTTTTTAGAGTTTCATAAGCACCACAAAATAAATATAGTTCTAGTAATTCTTGTCTCAAAAGATAAACCTTATAAAATTAAACTATATTGTAAACACATACTGACTGTAAGATTTTAACGCATAATATAACATTTGTCGTACCTTTCGTGACGTATTACATCACCTACTGCACTTGTAGTTTCAATACGCAGTACACTATAAACTAACACCACTAAAACTGAGGACCGTACTAAAGTGGTGGTCTAGTGATTCAATTTGTGGTCTTAGACAAAATTATGTAAACATTTTGAAATATTATACACAACTTATTTTTTTTTAAATACTGTTTTATTTGAGTTTGCCATTTTACCCTACATTCTAAACTACAAATAAAGAACATATTTTGAGTTACCGTTTAGGGTTGGTAACATAAACTCATGATACGACAAACAGCAAACATTATTGATCAAATAGTCAGAGCATTCGTTAAATTAAACATGTAAAATATATATGTTTTCTAATCAACAGAGTCACGTGTATGTAACAGATATGCTTGTCATGTGGAGCTTGCTAATCCCACACCTGTCCGTTGTAGATTAGTTATTTCATCATTTAGTAAAGTTCGCGAATATAACGGTCAACACTTTAATCCAACAACAGGAAAATTTGTATCACCACATGATGGTTTATACCTCATCTGTGTAACTCTAAATGAATGTGAAGATAAACAGATTACAGTTGGTGTGGTGGCTGGAGACAGGTGTAGAATTATAGAAGTAAAATGTGCCAACACTAGCTCAGCTAGGTCAGTGATTGTTGACATGAAGAAAGGTCAAGATCTGTACTTACTTGTGTTTCAAGCAGATCAAGGCGCAACGTTATCCAGCTACAGTAGTTTTACTATTCTTTGTTTATAGAAGTACAACACAAAACTTGGTGGATGGTAAATTCTCACAACAATAAAATATGTAACAACCATGTTAAGCACACGCTAACAACTTACTATGTGTTTAGACTACGAATGACATTTCTACAAAAGCTTAAATGGTTTATGTTATATTTTTAAAAATCATTACTTAATTTCAAGTAATTCATTTTGGTCATCATTTATATGTTCTATTTGACTAAAATAAACTTATAACATAACTCTGTTTTACATTTATTTTGTTTCTATGTTTAAGAAATGTATGTGTACCAGGGGCGGAACTACAGTGCCGCCAGACCTTGCAATGCGGGGGGGGGGGGCACGCCATTTAGGGGCCCACGGCCGACCATAATAATTTTTTTATAGTTAAAAAAATAATTTTCTTGCATTTTTGACTCGATGGTTGTTTTGTAAAAAGATTACTGTAGCTGCAGTTGGATTTTCTTTATTCTATAGACATCACCCCACGCTCTTGTATATTCTTTTTCCCTTTGTTTATAAACCGCTGTGAAAGCCGAGTCCTCTTTCTCCTACAATCGAACGTATCAAAGATAAGCAAACGTTCAAACCACTTCCATGACTTATTTCCCTTTTTTAAATAGTCATAAGCTCCTTTTAATAGATTTGTACTAAACAAATTAAAAGCAATTACTCCTCTTAATTGTTACTTTTTTTACTACTTACTAAAGAATGACATTGTATAAAAAGGCAACGTATTTAAGATTAATAATATAAATAAAAAAAAAACATAAAAATAAACATAACAAGAGACACCATTATTTATACAAAGCTTTCATGTTTTATATTCTGTTGACCGAATGAATGTTATGAGTAAGAGGTCTTTTATCAGAGATAAAGTTTCATTTTAAAACAGAGTAACGCACTTACAAACATGACATAATGTTGTAATTTGTTTTAATTGAAAAAAAAAACCCATTTTTTTTTCAAAACCCGAACAGGCCAGCAATGAGTATCCTATGTTCATATTTAGTGTTTGTATATATATATATATATATATATATATATATATATATATATATATATATATATATATATATATATATATATGTAAGTGTCAATTATAACTTAAAAACATACATATAACTTAATCACGTTCATTGGACAAAACGAACGAACGCGGCTGAGACCGAAATTCTTGGTTCAAAACAGCGAAGTCTGCGCGCGCACAGATAGACAGTTTGCACCGAGAGTTTTAGACCGAGCAAAACCGACTATCTTTTAAACCTGCTATAATGTTGTAAATATTAACAAAACCCATTTTAAAACGCTACAGTATAGTCGGTAGAGAGTTTCTTCGCACATATCATTAAAAACAATTTGTTTTAGAGCGATCAACAATGAAATAATCAGTTTTTTGTCTCTCATGTAAAATTTTCAGGGGCAGCATTGGTACTGTCGAATTCACAAATTATGAATTACTGAAAAGTAGAAAATAAAACAACTAAATAGCGGCGTATGATACGCCGCGGGTCGGCTCGTATATATATATATATATATATATATATATATATATAATTCTCTTCTTGGAGACGCTAGAAAACAAGCTGTAAGCGCGCTCCCTACCACCCCACCCCTACATGGTCTGGTGAGCTGTGTCCACACTAAATGTTTACAATCGTAGAGCCGGATTTAGTGACGGCTATTAGGGGCAGATAATTTAGTTGGAAACGATTTTAAACTTAGGGGAGGTAACTAAGAGGAGGCTGCTTTCACCGGGGGGGGGGGGTGGGTTGGGGTTGGGGGAAACGAGGGGGGGGGGGTAGTATCGTCCTTAACGACCTACTGATAGTATTTTAAAGCAAATATTTTCAGTGGCAGCATTGGTACTGTCGAATTCACAAATTATGAATTACTGAAAAGTAGAAAATAAAAAAAAAATGATAAATAGCGGTGTATGATATGCCGCGGGTCGGCTCGTTCACGTTAATTTACATCTGTTCGCCACAGCTCTCCACAAAGACAAATTTCCCACCAGTGGCGTAGGCAGGGGGGGGGGGTAGGGAGGTTTACACCCCCATGGACCCCTATGTAATTTTTTTACTGTCATAATACCACTGTTACTTACTTAAATCTATTTCTGAATCAGCATATATGTAAAATTATATAAGTATGTTTAGAACCATCATCTAAAAACTGACGATATGTTCACTCTGAGTTGGTTTCCCCCAAACCTCACCCCACCAACACTTCACCACCTAAAACAGGACACACCTAGGTATACGCTGGGTAGATAATTGACCTAAAGTGACCGGACAGCGGTGAATGAAGTTGAACCCCCTCCCCTCCCAACCCACCCCAAACTGATCTGTTGGTACATTTGGGGAACCGCGTAATGACGTACCAAAGTACCTTGCCGCCAGAATAATAGCTTTTGAAACAGGTAGAACTGTTTAAATATTATTTTTGCGATTACCTGTAAATAGGTGTGTGTGCAATTCAGAGATCCTACCCTTACCTTATCATTATTTTAAAAAAAATGATCTTTAAAGAACACAAAAGACAGTGGTTAATTAGAAAATGTGTGATCTCAACTGTATGACCAATGATGTAGTTACATGTAGTTGATGTAGGTTATTATTTAAAATCTTCCACCTATTAGGTTTAGTTTTGATATAAAGTATGAAAAGAGTGCTTTTATACCAACTCTGATTTTAAATACTTAAATTATACCGTAAGATTTTAGCATTTGTGATGACAATATATTTAATTCTGATTGTAGACAACGTATTTTTTGTAAAAAACGAATAAAGTAAAGTTTTTTTTACATACTAAAGTAATTAGTGTTATGTTTTGACATTTACAATTAAATTTGTAGAAATATACATATTTATATTAAGAGTGATTATTTCCCCTAGTTCGTTTGTCTTAATTTTCTAGGAATCATTATATTAATTTTTTTTACAAGGATAACAAAAAGATTGTGTTGCGTTCATTGTGTGTATCTTTTTTTTCTATTTCGAGTGATAAATTGTTTTATTTTGTTGGGCAACATTGTGTGTTTTTTTTTCGAATTTCTTCAGAGTACTTTCAATTTATTTTACATCATAGTGAAGCAATTACATACAACTAGTATATATATATATATATATATATATATATATATATATATATATATATATATATATATATATATATATATATATATATATATATATATATATATATATATATATATATATACTAGCCGTCCCGGCCAGGCCCTGCTCTGGCTTCTGTGAAAAACCTTTCTGTTAAAGACCATTACCTGTATGTTTAGTAATCACCATAAACCCGGCATTGCCCACCCAAACCACAACCAACCAAAACAACAAAACGCAAACAAAACGCTAACACAATTACAAATACAAACGAAAATAAAAACCTAACAACAAACCAAACCACAACCACAAACACCAATACAAACACAAAGAAAAAACAAGCAAAAAAGCAAACGAAAACAAAAACCTAACAACAAACCCAATAACAAACACCAATACCAACAAAAAAAGAAACAACGAAAAAGCAAACGAAAACAAACCAAATCCAAACGCAAAACCAACCAAAAACACAAATACAAACCCAAACAAAAAAACACAAACAAAAACGAAAAAAGAAAGAACAAAAACGAACCAAATCAAAACGCAACCACTAACGCAAACCCACATAAACACAAAGAAAACACTAACGCGAACATAAACGCCCGGGGCGGAATCACCTGTTTTAGCTTAATGAACGACTATAGTACCCCAACTTATTCATAGTCTTTTGCACTCACTTAAACGAACGCGCCTGTTTC